CAATTTCGTCGGTAATAAAGATTGTTTACGGACGAAACAAAATACCGGTCGGTCGCATAGCGCTTTCGCGGTTACGTGCCTATAGCGCCGACTCCTTGGCAGGGGTGGATCCAGAACTCCGTTTTGGGGGGGGGGGGCAGGGCATTTTGAAGGTCTACTAGTTTCACATTCGTTCTCGTGCTCCGGTGTGCACTGGAAAGCGAGCGGGGGTGGTGCAAGGAAGGATTAAAAATCTGCACATGACCGAAATTAAGTGGGAATAACCGCATGTGGCAGATAGGAGAGAAAAAAGGCGGAAGTCGTGTAATTGGTCTTTAATGTACGCAGAACGAAACGATCGCGGTGTTTGCAGTGACCTTCACACTGCAAACAGACTCCATCTTTTTCCGGTTTTAATTTTTGGGGGGAGAGGGAAGGGGGGAGGACTCTAAAAATTCACTAAAAATTCCCTCTAAAAAATCATGCAGCTAATCTGTTGTGGTTTTTTTCTTTGCGAGAAAAGTAAACTATTCTCAGCATAATTAACAGTAGTAAGTACTGTAATGTTTCTAGAATCCTAATATAGATGGTACCGGTTAACCGAGTATATTTTGTGTTTTCTACGAACGAGCCCATGTGGCTATACACCTCGACAGCGATTTTCAGGACCCTCCGCTGGACTCCAGAGGAGGGTCTTGGAGTCCAGGAACGGGACTCTAGGTCGTGGACTGAAGTTAAATTCGCTAGTAAAGAGACTCCAGTGTCTGGAGATTTTTTACTAGCGACTTTAACTTAATGAATTTATCAATATATTCAATCGAGTGCACACCTGAGGATGGTACTTTCTTGAATTTGCTCACGTACGTCAGCTGGGCTAAATTCGACGTTTCGTTCATGCCGGAGCTTTGATAGTGCTCTTGCAATTACCTGTTGTGCTTCTGGTATGAAGAAAATAGGAACCCCCATAAATCACGCGCGCCTTGCGTCTACGGTTAAATCGCACAAAATCAAGCTTTACGTTTCACGCAGCACTGGGAAGTAGGACGAAACTGGCTTCACGAAGATAGGCTTCCGTGCTGTCCGGTACGCTGTGTGGCGGCCCTAAATGTGAGGCGCAGACACACCGTCACTGGGACTCGTCGTCAAGTGAGACAGACCAAAGGTCTAAATAATAAACTATCATTTCATTAAAAAAAACTTGGTCATTACACAAATCAAGTGGCAGTAATTAACGCAGTTGACTAGCAACAGTAGAGAGTTTTAGTAGATTGTGTTTTCAGGCAACGCTATTTTTCTCTCGCGAGCTCGAGCTCCCATTTCGAAGCATGCCGTCAAGCGCGCGCCCAGAGCGATAGCGGGCCTCTACTATAAACCCATAATAAACTCGGAAAAAGAACTAATCTTTCGGCAAGCAACGTCTCCTCTCACCTCGGAACACTACAAGCCAAACTTGGCACTTGCTTGTTTAATAATATAATATAATAATAAAAAAGTTATTTCTCTCCCCCTCTCTCTCTCTGAGGCAGCGGGATAAATCGCGCCACGCGTGTCATACAGTTCACTCACAGTCTCTGTCCAAGGCGTACGTGTTCTCTCCCTGGTTGGCTCGAAGATCCTAGAGTTCATCCGACGGCCGACGGAAGTCGTCTTTCAGTCACTTTCTTCTCATGAGGCGATCTCTCCTCCTGATCCTGGTACTTTCCGTAAATGAAATCAGCCCTACCGGTGACTCTTTTTTCTCAAAGGGTCCAAAGAAGAGTTCCTCCGCAGAGCGGGGAAAGGACTCGTTGAGATGGCCGCCCCCTCTTCGGTCCGAAACAAAGCAATGCGGCGTCGGGCGTTCCCGACCAGGGCCACGGCCGCACTCCCGCAGGCAACAACGCGCGTCTTCTGCAGTCTGGCGAGATTGCCTCAACGCGACACAAGTAAACTTGAGCGTGGAGTATCGAATTGAGAAGGACGACTATTAGAACAAACAAAAAAAGACAGGAGGCTGGATGTGTGTGATTGGCCGACTCCCGATTAGAGGATGTTAGCAGCGCAGCCATTTTTCTATTTCTCTCTTTCGCTATTTTCCTGGCGCAAAAAGTCGAACTCGTATTTCATTTGTTTTAACATTTTGTGCGCGGCTCTCGCCCCGCGTTATCACCCTTTCCGACAGGTTCAAACACACCCGCCTTCACCGCAAAGGGACATAGCCGACTTGTGGGGACGCGGTCATCCTTGCTTGTTCGGCGTCGGGCGAGACACGCGACAGGCAAAGAAAGCCTTCACTTTGATGCGCGCCGCTATGATGCACCTGCTCGGAAGTTAGCGAACTAGCGTCGATGCCTCTGCCATTTTTTTTTCTGACTGTTATTCTAACTGTAACTAACTTACTCTTGAAAAGTAGCGTAAACAAGACCCTCGATGCTGCCTTCTGCTTTCGCCGCCGCAGAACACTGCGCCGACGGCCCTTAGATGTGCGCCGCTGCGCCGACACATTGGCTCCTGGCTGCGCCTTGAACTCGCCGTCGCGGTCTTCGGTTTCGGATGAAGCGACGGAGTGGTTCTCCAAGTTCAGAGTACGAGTGTGCCCGCTATAGGGCGCGAACATATACCCTCTATTTGAACCATTTAGTACCGAACCCTTTACCACCTCCCAGGCTCGTTGCTTGGTTTAATTTCAGGGGTTTGGTTCTTTTAATATGGCAAGAAATGTGTCCCTAAGTACGGGACCGACGAAAAAAAAACAGCCTTACCACTTTCTCTAGTTACTGTTACATTTTTCTCAGAAAGGACCTCCGCTATTTCAGGGGGGGGCAAAACACATACCTTGCCCCCCCACTCTGAGAAGTGGGGGGGCAAGCGCCCCCCTTGCCCCCCCGGTTGATACGCCCATGGACAGATCTATCCACAAGTGGTCTAAGTTGTTAAAGCCAAGGTGCCTTTATGTGCATGCTAGTTAGGTCAGCCGCGACCTGCTGCGTCCGGCCGATCGTGCTGGAGCAGCCGGCGGACGGTACGCGAACTGCGACGGCACCGCATCGTTCTTCAAAGACGCCTGTTTCGTGGTGAAACCCGCAACAGTCAGCAGCCGCAGATCCCGTGTGTAGGTGTCTGACGTAAAGTGCTGGGAGCAGAGCTTCGCGTTGGAGCTCGGAGTCAACAGTCTTCCGAAGTCTATCCGGCGAACGGCACCAACCCACACCTTGTGCCTCTTCCGGTCTCTTGGGAACTGGTGGAATCGCAGCTCCGGGTTGCGCACATGGTTGTTGGTGCAACCCACAGCACTACAAATCCTGCTCGACATTGCCCAACGCGATACCGGCAAATCTCTCCGGCTCCACGACGCGCGCGTGAGCGAGCAGCACCGCTTTGCTCTCTTCCGCGCTGTCACGGAAGCAATGCTGGAATTAAAGCAACTGCCTGGACGCTAATAAAAACAGGAGAACACAGGATAATGTGGTAAACACCTCGTGCCGTCAGCAGAATCGCAGAATGCCACGGGAAACGAAACGTTCGCGGCGTCCGTACGAGAGCGTAGGACTAGACCTACGTCATTGCCCAGTGTTGCTTCACTAGCTCACCCGGTGCCAGCGTTGCTCACCCGCTTTCGGGCCGCTAACCGAGCCGGGAGAACATTTCTAATATTGGTAATAATCGGTAACGCGGCGTCGGTTTGACGTGATATTTTGGGTATGACCGTATTTTGACCTCCTAAAGCGATATCAGTCATTTCGATAGGGTCGACTTTTTGAGTGGAGTTGCCCTTTAAAAAATTGAGATATTTTTTGCATGAAACTTTTCTTGGCTAGTTGTTTGGCATATTGCAAAGCCCAAAACTGAAGCCTGGATAAAAGCGTGGCCGCAAGGCTTGCCACGGATTGGTTTGGGGGGGGGAGGGAAGGGGGGGGGGAGGGGGGGGGAGGGGAGAGGGGAGGTGGAAGAGGCCATTGCCGCTCTGCATTTGACAGGGAACAACTTGACGCCCGTCGCACATTTTTAAAATTCGGGTTAGCGCCGGTGTCTCCATTCCAGAAATTGCTATCTAGTGAACATGCTACGGCGTTAAGCCATTCGCTAAACTAAGAGTGCTGAGAGCGTAGTCTAGTGATGCAGAACTACCGATAGTCGACTATTGATAGTACTATCAATAGTTTTTCGATAATCGACTATCGATAGTTTTTTACTTCGATAGTCAGATTTCTGGTGACTATCGATACTATCAATAGTGCTATCAATAGTTTTGCATTACTATAGTCCGTTACAACTCAAGAAGGTAGGGCGAGGGTAAGACGGGCCGGGGAGGAGGAAACAGACGGAACGCTAAAGAAAGAAGGAGGTTTCCCCATCTCTTCTCCAGCATTCCGTCTGCTTCCACCTCCCTGACTTGTTTTACCCTCGCCCTACCTTCTTGAGTTGCAACGGACTATAGCAAACTTGGTCGCGTCTGACACATTTCAAATGAAGCACCGCCACTTGCCTCCCCTTCTCTCCTCGCCCAAACTCCCGTCTTCGTCATCACTGAAAGCTGAACCAAAGTTGGGATGGCCTGGGCTAGTTGGTGTCCTATTTGAAAAAAAAAAAAATAAAGTGATAGAAAGAGAAGAGGGAGCGACTCAAATTACTAGTGTCGCAAAACTATTAATAGTAAATCGTCAACAGTACCATCGATAGGTTTACGAGAGTCGACTATCGATAGTTTTTTGATAGTTGATTAACGATTGTTTTCCGATAGTCGACCATCGATAGTACTATCCACAGCTTTTCGACAGTTGACTATCGATAGTACTATCTATAGTTTTCCGACAGTCGACTATCGATAGTTTTCCGATAGTCGACTATCGATAGTACTAGCGATAGTTTTTTTTACTATAGATATTCAGATTTCTGGCAACTATCGATAGTTTTGCACCACTAGTGTAGACACCACACGTTTCACATGCAACGCAATTGCCCAGCAATTTGCTAAAATTATTTTTATCTGGCAGTGTTTTGTTTTGTAAACCTAACAAAGAAAACCTTTCTTGTGCTGTCAGGAACAAAACCACAGGGGAGTGGTAAGCCACGCGAAGACAATAACAAGAGGAAGCTGTTTGTCGCAGGCATCGGCAGCGAGGCGCGAGAGGTAAGGTCTAGAAACTTTTTGCTGGGCAGCGTTTAGGGGTGTGTATAGCGAATGCATTCTGTCTGCTACTTCACAGGTGTCGTTCAAACTTGGTCGCGTCTGACAGATTTCAAATGAAGCACGGAGGTTGTTGAATTCCCGAACGAACTTAAAGGGCCACTGTACTCTCAGAAAACATTTTTATAACTGCCTCGATAGAGCATGCACGTCCCAAAATGCACTTTCACCAAAAAAAAAAAAAAAAGAAGGATTATGCAGTAGTTAAGTTGCAAACACAATTTAGATGAGCCTCGGAAGAAGTAAGTGGGCTGAATGTGGGCCAATCCTCCTCTCTACTTTTTTTGTTTTTCTTGCAACCAATCAATGTGCAAACGATAGGCATCCCTCTCCTTCACGCTCCTTCCAGCTAATTGAGGTGGGGGGCTCACAGAATGACTATTTTGATTGTTGAAGCTTGAAGGCAAATGCTACCTGCACCTCAAAAGAATTTCTGTCAAGCTTTCATACATCTCTGTTTGATAAAACCTTTGCATAACCAGCGTGCTACAGATGACAAGAGCAATTGCTGGGGCCTAAATTCGCTGCTCATTTCAGCCACACAATCAAACCTTTTTGCCACGCTATATCTAAATTCAAAATAGCTATTGAGAAAATGTAAATGAAGGTTATCTCAAAGCCAACACTCAAATTCCTGCGCGCTTCCCAGGGGGGTGACCTCACACACAGTATAGTTTGCAAATCAAGCAGTCAGTCTAAAAAATAAAATATTTAGCGTGTTCTTTTCTTTTTTTTTTGTTTGCTGGCGCGAGTTTTTTTTGCATTTATTCTACACCACTAGACTTCTTGTAGCTCGTTGGGAACAGGCTGTACCGTCCCCATATTACAACATGGATGGATCGATGGATGCCAACTGCTGTACCCTTTATAACGGGTGGTAGCTTGCACCACCTAGCCTAGGCATCTGACATCACATTTTCAGTGTTGCCAGTAGAGCATGTCGACCTTCGAGACCAAACTTGTATATTAGAGATCTTTGACAGAATAATTCTGACTTGTAATTTGAGGTACTAGTTCTTATGTGTCTATTAACCTTCAGACTGTTGAGTTTTTTTCTCTCCAAAAGAGATCTTCCAGTCGTTGGGTTTTGTTTCCAAAGGAATGGTATAAAGAAAGAGCCAATTCACTGTTTTTACAGCGGAGCTTTTAAGGGCTAGGTTCCCCAGGATCGTGTCCGGTAAGACGACACAAACCTGCCTGGACAGCTACCGCCATCTATAAGCGACGGCGGCAAGCACACAACCAGTATAGTTTCCGCCGTTGCTCGTAGATAGCGCCAACCTTTCCAGCTATAATAGACGAACGGATAGTTGAGTGCGTTGGTGGGAATTCATCGTAGGAAACAGCGCAAAAAACAGATGACGACGAAGAAGAAGCGTACAGTGTATTGAGTACAGCTCCACTGGTCTTCCTTCTTCACGAGAGTGGGAAGGCTGAACTTTTTTTTTTCTGAATTATCTAGTGGGAGCACAAACAGTGCTTGCAAGCTGTTCAGGTTCAAAGGCACCAGATTGAAATATTGAATGCAAAAAGTTGTCACCTTTCATCCATTTGGGTTCGCTTCCGCGACATTCCTGCTGTTTCAGATTCCAAACCGGAGGTACTTTTCAGAGCTTCTCTATCTTATGGCAAGCTCCTCATCCCCTGAGTTAAATTCTGAGAAGTGCTTAAAGTTTAAAGCAAAGCTGGCGCTCACATTGCTGCTACCGCCAGAGCAGCCGGCACGCGACGCGTCCATCTTGCGCATATTATGTATTCGAAGCATCTAATTTCATAACTATTTCTAGCGTTTATTAATAAACATAATAATGTTTATGGTTTGCCAAAGACATAGCGAATAGCAGCACCTCCTCCCGCAGTGCGGACGGTTTCACGTTTTGGTAGGAACTTTCAAATGTGGAATCGTTGCAGTACATGTATGGCAACGACCGTCAAAAGGTTAAATGGCTACAGAAACGAAATTCAAGCGCTTATTTTTTTACTTAGATATAGACCTCGTTCCATCACTTAGATAAAGACCTCGTTTCATCAACATCCCAGGAACATCAATTACTCATCGTTAAATGCTGAAAACTAAGTTCAAAACAATTGGAAGAATAAAACTTTCAGTATGTATAAGTGTTCATTCATTTCTTAACCTTATTTTAAAATCGCCGAGTACGAAGAAATCGCCAAGAACAAAATGTCACTGTAGTATATAGTCTACGCCAGGGGTGGCCAGGCTGACAAGGCCTAAGAGCCGCAAACAAAACCACTAAACTTCCAAGAGCGGCGGGGGGGGGGGGGGGGGGGGTGGGGGGGGGGAGGCAAGCTTTTGTCCAGAGCAGTAACCAAAACTCGAACTACTTTCAATCTATCTGAGTCAAAAGCTGTACAACTGTACGTAAGGTAGCAGTAGCACAAGACTAAAAAACAGCAACCTGTCTTTCGATTTAAAACGCGTTCCATTTTTTTCTTTGGGGAAGTGCTGGTGTGACCGGGAGAGAGATGTGCAAGTGTGTGTGTGAGTGTGTGTGTGCATGGGGAAGGGGGGGGGGGTAGAGGCGGTAGCCGCGAGCCGCACTTTAACACGCGAAGAGCCGCATGCGGCTCGCGAGCCGCAGCTTGACCACCCCTGGTCTACGCCAAGAGCGCGTGCAGGGAGACGCTTTTTCATGTGCATTGAAACAAAAAAGAAACATAGGCGTTCAGAACAAAATGGTCAGATGTCGTCACCATAACCAAAGGCCCACACGAAGGTACCCTAGGCCATTTTGGATCCGTTACGTCTGACGATGGCAAAGCAGACGGATTGAAGAAGTAGTGTTCTAGGACAAATTGCCTGTCGGTCGTCGTTGATGTAAGCGATCCCATGGTGTCTTCGTTGTCACCGATGTCTCGCTTGTCGTCTAGGTACTCCCAATCTCCGTTGCTCTTGTGAGTGGTCGTCGCGCAAGCAACTATGGATGATCCCACCCTCGATCATGAGTGATTGTCGAGGCTGCCGAAATGACTGACCGTACAGTCCTCGAGCGTTTCAACAGGCAAGGTTGCAACGCGTTGACGCCGCCAAGTGGCAAAGCTGAGAACCGCGCCAGCCTTGGCTGTGAAGAGGCCGGCACTGTCATGAGCGTGGCAGATGTCCCAAGAAGCGCTTTCTAGAATCGGGCATTCGGAAGAAAAAACATGGCCATCCGCTCAAAACACGAGCGTGCAATTAATATTTATGGATATTATGAATCATGTTAAACCTATCTCGAAACAAACATTTATAAGTTTAGTTTTTCTAGCCCTTTAATGCGTTGGAACCAATTTTGAGGCATATGAGTGACTGTTAAAATTTCGCTAGAGCTCCACCCTTTATAGCAAGAGTATGGAAGCAGGGGTGTCCTGACCTCTAAGTTGAGTTTTGGACACAAAGTCCTCGTTGTAGCTTTGTTTGTTTATTTATTTACTCTCAAGGTCGTACAACATTTCAGAGGGCAATAGACAATAATAAGACTGCAAACATAAGTGGCAAAAAAAGAACGACACAATCATGGTTTCACAGAGAAAAAATAAGTTGGAGCATTTTTGAAAGCAGTCGGGTCATGGTTTGTTGGGGAGGTAGTTCCATTCCACAGAAGTGCGAGGAGCGAACAAGTAGAGAAACACATTCGTTTGACTTGGGGGGGATGGGGGGGGGGGGAACACAAACCCCTTTTTGGTTATCTAAGCGACTGGAAATGTGCAGCGAGGGGGTTAGAAGATGACAACGCAGGGAGAAATCACGGTGAATCTCGTGAAGAAGGTATAAACGAGAATGCCGTCTAAATAAGGCAAGATTTGCCAACATGAGCAAAAGCTTTTTGCGGCCTTCAGCAATGTCAGTCGCGTCGTGATGACCGTGGCTTTGACTCTGTCTGCCTTTTGTAGGAGGATGTCCGGAACATGTTTCGAGAGTATGCCGTCGACAGCGTCTTCCTGAAATGCGAAGGAGAAGCGAAAGCGTGAGTACCTTTACCGTCTTTGAATAGTGCTCACCTACTTAGATTACATTGCCAGGAATGTGTCTTTGACCGTTTAGCGCAGGGGTGGCCAGGCTGACCCGGCCTATGAGCCGCAAACAAAACCAAGAAACTTGTAAGAGCCGCGGTGGGGGGGGGGGGGGGGAAGGTATGAATGATGTCAACTCGGACTTCTGCGACCTTCAAAAAGAAACGATAGGGGACATCCTTTATCTAAAGGGGACAAGTATCACTGGCGAGTGACAAAGGCCGCGAGGCTGAACTTTTCTCGACCCCAAGCCAAAGTGCATGCATGGTTTGACAGTCCCTGTCCTCGATGCCTTTCCCCCTAGGGTCCGGCAAACTCCCTCGAACAATGAAAGAAACAGGATCTGCGTAAACATACGAGTGAAAAGCGGTTCGACTGTACGTATGGGGGCACAAGGCTGCCAAACCCTTAGCTGTTCTTTATTCTGAAATCCTTGGGGAAACGCGGAAAGGGGGGAAGGGGAGAGGGGGGTTCCCTTACGAGGGATCCGTGAGCCGCACTTGGACCAGCAAAGAGCCGCATGCGGCTCGCAAGCCGCGGTTTGGCCACCCGTGGTTTAGCGTCTCATCCCCTCCCGCCAATGCGTCAAAATTGGTTCCGAAGTGGCAACAATGACGTCGTAAGAGACGGGAGTAGCACGCCGCCAGACGTCACAATCCTGGCAGTGGGTGCTCAAAGTAGGGGCAAAGAGTACGAGTGAACGGGAGAGTCGCTGTCATAGCGGCGTCCCAACTCTTGGCCGCCGAAACTCCCGTGGACCTTCAGGCTGGAGAGCGACCTGCAACAGAACAGGCTCCTGCCACATCCACCGTCGCTGCCGCGACACTGCCGGGATCGCGATTGGCGCCAACGCGACACTTTTTGTGACGTTGTCAGACAGAAATTTGGGGACCAATTTTTGTGACGCAGTAAACGCCCCAGTAGGAGATGCGTTTGGGGCACCACGCTTGTTTGTCTATGTGCCGTTAGCTGGCCATTTTCAGTATTGGTTGCTTTTGAATGCAGAACGCGTTTTGGCGGAGGCGACGTTCAGACTCGTGTCGCGGCGCTGCGGGCGTTCCCTGCCTTCGTTGGCTACATTTGTCAGGCTAGCACCTCTCTAGTTTCAGTGGAACGCACCACGGTGGGTCACGTGGCAACGTGATGTGCATCGGGCCACTCCGGGTCATGTGACGGGATCCACGGTGTGAGGTTGCTGTGCATCTCGCACCATGAAGACTTTGTGAGGTGTGAGGGTGAAGACCCGCACCGTGTGGAGACTGACGTCATCATTAGGTTTTGTACTTTGGGTGTCAGCTCACTGCGTATTGCAACTTAGTGTCACGCAACTATGTTGCGTGACATTGGGTTTTGCGACACCGCGAGCAGACGCCACGACTCGGGCTGCCCAGTTTTGTGTATATGTGCCGCGCGTTCTGCATGAAGGATGCTTGGACAGGAAATCGAAGGGCTGCCATAATTTTTTGAGAGGCCTCTTTTTGTAGATTGTTTTAATTTGTAAATTCTTTTTTAGAATCTACAAACAGGTTGGACATCGGTAGACGAAAAATTATTAGAATCGTGAATTTGAGGAGGCTGAGGCAAAGGGCAAGGTCGTCTGTGTGGCTGCAATTTATTGAGGTTTTTATTCTACCATCTGGCAGAAACATTACAGGGGGTGGGGGCAGAGAACAGAGCTTGAGACTCTGTGAAGAAAAAGCAGTTCATTAGGGCTTACAGCATTCTTAAATGCTCTTCAATATCTTTTTAATCTAATGAAGCCTATACTAGAGAAGATGGACATGAAGTTGCATCGCAGAAGGGAGTGACCCCCTTAGGGCAATGGTCGTGGCTAGAGGATGTGTGGGTGGGCTAACCAATTGGATAACTTTCGTAGTATGTGCCGTGAAACAAGTGCAGGCGAGATGTTTTATTGCATATTGAGAGAGTGGGTGAGAAGAAATTAAAGTTTGCAAACAAGATACTCGACGTGCAATGGTAATCGGACAGCATAAAATTTGCAGAATGGTTTGAAATAATTGAGCGCTGAAGCGAAGATCTTTGCACTATCTCTGAATACCTACTTATTTTAGGTTTCGCTTAAGTTTTACTAATCTTTTTCTTTGTCAGAGGGAGACGGAAGAAAATAAATGAGGTTCAGAAGGCCCAAGCGTGTGATTGAATTGTACAGAATATTGATTTCTTAGTTGTTCGAGAAGAAAAAAAAAAAAAAAGGTGTGGGGAAAGAGTACCAGGTGAAGTTCAAGAAGAAAAAAAAGGATGCGAAAAAGAGTGTTGGGTAAAAGGCAAATAATATTTTTTTTTAAATATTTACATGATAACGACATTAATGGCTTGCCCCGCTACTTGAATAACTTCTGCCCACAATGAATGACGGCACTCACCGTCCGGAAGCTTCTTTGTGCCATCCAAAAAACTAACAGTCGAGCGAAACTAATCTCCCATAAGCTTCACATTCCGGATATTTTTGAGAAGTCATAATCAGGGTTTCATGTTTTCCGGGTTTATTTTTCTTTGAATACGGGGGTGTTGTTTCGGCGTTTATAATATTTTTCCACAGGTTCAATATTTTCGAGTGTCCACTTTCGGAGGTCGGACAAAGTATTGGGGGCTTATGTCGATGTGAGCGAACATGCACATAATCCGAATACTCGCGGAACGTCCCGGTATCGTTAAGAAAAGGAAATGAGCTAAGGGTCATGGTCTGAAAAGGAGGAGGAGCATCGTGGACAGTTCAATGCGTGCTGTGTACTGCATCAACACAAGCCAAGATTCTCTTTCGTGAAGCTTGGGGTCTTTTCGTTGAAGGATAATGGTTCCTTTTCGGGGATTTTCTCTGTATTCCCCAATGTCGTCGAAGTGTTTTCTTTTTGGGGTTTTTGGCACACTAGACCCACTGAGCTTTACTTACGTTCGACGACCTTTCGACGCCCCATGTACTCTCTGGCTTCGCAGACACTGCTTCGTGACCTTCGAGACGGAGGCCGTGATGCAGGAAGTGCTGAGGAACGCTGCAAAGTTCTGGCTGAACGGGCGGCTGGTCACCATCCGCAACGTCAATGTGCGACCCGACAACGGCCCTGGTGGTGGCAGGAGTCCCGGAGCTAACACGTATGGGGACGGCGGCGACGGCACCAGCACCACGCCGTTGCACGGTTGGTGTCTTTCGTTGAAACTACTATATTCGTTCAAACCTATCTGGAGCGCAGGTTTGTCTGCTGCTTGCACAGGGGTTACAACAGTGTCAGAATGCCGAGCTCTTATTGGTCGATTGAAAAAAAAAAACAACAGTGGGTAGACCTTGAGGCGTCTAGCATTTGGGTCTGCCCTCTGTCCTTTCAGTCAGAGCCGATCGGAGCTCGGCGTCGTTGTGACGTCGCCGCAACTCCTGCGCAAGAAGGAAACGTCTTGCTCTTCGCATGATGTTTTTCCAGAAATGTCGCGCTCTAAAGTTGACCCTTCCGGAAATCGAAACCGAAAGTCTAGTTCCCGCGTTGCATCCTGCATAGTGCTACACGTATAGAAACGCCGCTGGCTGTGTGGTCCCGAAGGAGATTCAATAAAGATATAGACCTACACGCTGTTTACAAACAAGCCAGCGTTTGCCCACACCGGGTGTGGGCACTGCGCGTGCGCAGAAACCAGACTCGCGTGAGGTGAAGCGTCTGCGCAGTGCCGTCGACAGCGCCACCGCAGCTGCATGACGTCGGGGCCGCGTGTCGGTCTATAGCCTGGCTAAACAGCTGTCTCATTTTGCTGTACTCTTCTACATCGTTGAGGTGGGGGTTTGACTTCGTCAATCAAATTGATAGGTTTAAGTCGGGGTGGTAAGGAAAGGGTTAGCAATGTTTGGAACTTGATCCTTTCCCTGTTCTTTGTCAACCTTAGTGCTTGGCCCATTGGCATAGCCAGGAATTTTTATTTATGGGGGTGGTTGAGGTGACTGCAATGTCCAAGACGTGAGGGAGGGGTGGTCAAAAGACACGTGTATGTTATAGGGTCGGCTGTATTTCGGGGAGGGGGTTGAAGCCCCATTAACCTCCCCCCGGCTATGCCACTAGCATGGCTGTAATCGCCGTTGGCAGCACCTGATCATGTGGCCGCTTGTTCTGACTGCGTGTTGAAGGGGTGAATGCCGCTTGTCTTACAGTGATGCTGCTATGGCCTCTTCCCATCACTGGAAATGACATTCGTTGTTGATGTCCTAGTTGTCGTTGTAGATGTTATAGTAGTTCTTGTCGTTGATGTTGTGGTTGGTGATGTAGGGCATCTGTCGTCAGTGTTGCCAAATCCTTAAAAAAGATTACCCGCCTCTCGCGGGAAACAAACCTGGGTCCGGTGCGTGCGAAGCCGAGGCGTTACCACTGAGCTACACCACAGCTTTGGGTGCGTTAGGTCCGTGCTCCGGAGCGCGAGAGTTTGGCGCTTCTTTCTCTAAACAGACAGGAGTGCCACCGGAGACTGTCACTCGAGCGCGCTCTTCGTGCACCGAGAAATTCTCGGAGCGCGAGTGACTTCTTCGTGCTCCGTGACGTCACGTAAACAAACAAGATGGCTGCGCTGCTCTTGTGACCATCGAGACGAAAGGCGTAGCCGGACCGGCGACCCTTTTTCAGTTGATTAGTAATTAATCCAGCAGGTAAACACAATTTGATTTGAAAGCCAAGACAGCAATTAGCGTTCCGAAAAAGGTTTGTTTGCGCATCTCGCCTGATAAAGAAATTAATCTATCAAACGGTAGCGTGCTGATAGCACAGTGACAGAAGAGTTGTCGAGATGAGACATTCGGACCGCTCTGCCGTTTTTGTAATGCTTAGCCCAGTGAATAAAGGAACTTAGATTTAAAAGCCAAAACATCAGTTAGCGTTGAGGAAAAGGTTTGTTCGTGCGTCTTGCTTAAAACGAATTGATCTATTGAACGAGCGAGCCGACAGCTCGGCGACAGAAAAATTGTGATGAAAAGACAGTCAGATTGCTGCCCTGCTTAGAATGCTTAGCCCAGCCGCAGCAAATCAAGATACTTAGATTGAAAAGCCGAAACATCAGTTAGCGTTGCGGGAAAGGTTAGTTCATGCATACCGCCTAAAAATGAATTGACGTGCTATCAAATGACGGTGTGCCAGTATCGGCGTAGCTCCCGTCTTGCACTGCGAGACGCAACCACGGAATCTCTGACACATTTGAGGGTTTCCTGTGTCGACGAGCGGGTTCAAGAATATTGTCTTTAATTTTAATCGTAACAGCATGCATGGTCAGTAAATAGATCGGCCAACATAACTTTTCACATATGTGCACGAAGCGAGTCTTCAAACCTTTCAGGAATATTAAAACATTCATAGAAACTTCATAACGTCGCCGTCTTTTTTGCATTAAACTCTGCCGCTGCACACGGGCCTAATTATTTATCTTCGAAATATTTTCGGCTTCTGCCACCTGTATCCACGGTCGGTAGGAGCTTGTGTGGCCTGTCGATAGTTTCTGGCCATGTTCCAAAACTTGCTCGACCTAACTCTAGGGCAGGGGTTCTCAAACTGGGTTCCGGGGAACACAGGGATTCCACGAGCTGGTCTCATGGGTTCCGCGAACACCCAAATTGCAACACCCTCCCCCCCCCCCCCCCATGCTGCAGGCTGCGCGGCAGGACCATGCAAAACACCTTCATCTCACTTTGTACTGACAATGCGATTGACATGGGGGGGATATATGGGAAGCAACACAAGCAAAATTGCCTACAATAGACCCTTTTCAAAAGTCAGAGTCCTCTTGTGGCAGTCCAAAAAGCTCCAATATTGCCGCTCTAATGGCGGTGATAGGAGATCATGCGCGGCTAAATCAAGCACCCTCGATTTCGTGCATCGAAGGTGACGTGAGACGACCAACATCTTTTCCTTTTTCTGCTCTATGCTTTCGGAGACGCTCGATTTTTCTGGTGTGGAGAAACAGTGTAGTTCCGCCATTAGAGCGTCGGGTCCGGCTCTGCACAAGGTGGGTAGACTGACTTTCGTAAAGGGTCTATTGTGCATCTGTTGCTTCTCGGTCGGCAAATATGGAGGGGGGGGGGGGGGTTCCGCGGCAGTTTTTGAGGCTTCCTGGGGCTCCATGAGGCCAAAAAGTGTGAGAACTCCTGCTCTAGGGTAAAGGTAGTTATTGAAAACCCACCCCCATCGAGCGTTTCTCTATTTTTGTTGTCGCGTGACATAATCCGCCAGGGTAACTCGGATCCATTCGAGTAGGTTTGGAACGCGGCCTCGGTGTGTCGCGCTCTTGTACACTATCCGTCGTTTAGTTGGTGCGCTCGGAATTTGAAACTCGGAGCGTCGGAATAGGAGTTAAGGAGCGCCGTCTTAACGCACCCATTAACAACCTGCTTTATGCACGTTTGCAAGTACGGCCTCAGGGCGCCGCCATGTTGCCCAGTTGGGGTGCACTTGGGCACTTCATAATCCGATTACGGCGCCTTGCTAAAGCGTTGTAATTGGATTATGGCGTTCCCAGGCACACCCCAACCAGAGGTTGGCATTTTAGGTCGCTTTCACTCACCCTCACCCTCACAGCTATACTCACCTTCAGTTCCTCTCTCATCCTCATCCTCAGTCACACTCACCTTCAGTCCTTCGCTCCCCCTCACTGAACCTCAATGCCCTCATGCTCCCCACGCACTCACCACCCTCGCGCACTAAGACCCCTCACTCCCCCTCACACACTCATGGCCCTCACGCCACTCACGCACTCGCAGCCCTCACACCCCTCACGCACTCAATGCCCTCACGCACTCACAGCCTTCATGCCCCTCACGCACTCCCCGGCCTCACGCACTCACCGCACTCACACACTCATGGCCCTCACACACTCACGGCCCTCATGCACTCATACCCCTAACACACTCACGGTCCTCACAGCCCTCACGGCCCTCACTCACCCTCACACATGAAGTTTCCTAATCAGAAGCTCACTCACCCTCGCCTTACCTGTGGAGATGAGGGTGAGTGAGGGCCCTCATGAATGGGGTTTGCTGAGGTATGACCCCAACTGAGCGAGGTGGCGGTGCCCTGAGGACGTACTTGCAAACCTGTGTACATGGGATTTTTGTAGTACCCTATGCCTCCGGAATCCACTCTAAAAAAAGACTAGCCGATAATGAAATGCCGTCGTAGCACTGTCAATGTCAAGAGCTTGTGCCGGGAGACATACTTCAACATGCTCCAGAACAAAAAAAGAAGCAAGCGTTGGGGGCAGAAATTGTTAGATGTCTATTTTGTTCTGAACTCTTTTTTTTCACGCACCCACGGTGCGTGAGTGCGATGCCGATGCTCAACAACTTCGTTGTAACATGTCGCAGCTATCGCCGTGACTCTGCAGTGGATTAACACAGGACTGCCAAATTTTTCTCCACATCCTTTCTGCGACTGCTATTGCGCTGATAACTTCCAAAACTAATGCAAGTTTCGGATCTTACAAACTTTAAGGTTTCAATCTAAGTGACATTTACTGTCGAGACCGGTTATAACGAAGTCAGCGGGAATCGGAAATCACTTCGCTACATCCGCTATTTTGTTATAACCAAGTTAGGTTCTAACGAAGTGCAAAAGGGAATGGGAAATAGGGATTGCTTTGCTGTAGCCGCTATTTCGTTATAACCGATTTCATTATAACCGGTCTAGACAGTACTGAAAGTGCAAAACTCGTTGCGCTGCCCTTTTAAGTATACAGCTCTCCAATGCTTTCAATAATATCATGGGAATGTCGATCGACTCAATGTATAAGCTAGAGTAAGTGCATGTGTGCAAAGCCCATTCATATGCAAGTGTTGCCTGCTAGCCTCTTCCACGGACTGCGAACAGCCCTTGCAGGAGATATTTCTACCAAGAAACAAGGAACACGGGCTGCGTGCAATCGGCAGAAGAGCCTAGTAGATGACGCTCGCACGCCAGCGTTCTTTGTGTGCATGCGCTTATTCTTGCTAAATTTGCTGCACTGCCTTGTGATAGGACGCTGACCAGCCGACACTCTTGCAATGTTATTAAAAAAAATAGGAGAGCTGTACAACTCTTTTCTTAATGCCCTTTGTGCATGTCTTTACATAATAACAGTTAAGAGTTGAGCATGTTGGTACATACTTTTAAATAGATCAGCTCGAACTTCAGAACTATACTCGGACACGAAGAAAGAAAGGGCAGGGGAGGACAGACAGCTGACTACCAACGGTGTTTTTGTGTAAACTTCCTTGTGCATTTGTTTCTTGATTAAGAGGCCAAAGTAAAGCACGAGAAACTTATTACGTAAATAAACCTATTGCTTTAATAAAGATTACTACCGATAATTACACTTATACAAAATTATAGAGAAAAATACACAGAACTACAAAAAAATTGTTGTTTTTGAACTGACCTGCCACAAGCTTGTGCTGTTGTTGTTCGGGCCTTACACTCCATAGGTATTGTCTTTCTTTTTTTTTTTTTGAATGGCGATAGAGGTGATGTCTGTCCTTTCCTGCCCTTTCTTTCATTGTGTTCAAATATAGTTCTAAAGTTCAAGCTGATTTATTTACAATGTCTTTATACATTTCTTGTCGCTCGTGCATGGCATCCTTAACAGCTGGGAGGGACCAGCATCAGGGCAGTGACGACAAGTCCAGGGAACTGTTTGTTGGTGGGCTGCCCAATGACATCACTGAGGTGAGTATATTGGAGTGGTGTCTGAAAGGCTTGCAAGAACCCTCCGTGCTTGTTGGTTGCACCATTTTACCAACCCCGGGTTGGGGGATTGGTAGCTAAGTGTGTTTGCTCGTCACAGCTCAAAGCACGTGGCACGAAAACTTGCGCTACAGAACTGAGAGATCTCGGGTTTAATCTCCCCATACCGTAGCAGTGTGCGTCGGGTATCACTGCGGCATGATGCACATTAAAGCCCCTAGGCTAACAGTGGTACTGCACTCGCTTACTGGGGCTGACAAACTTCCTGCTGTCTAAAGAAATGCACAACACAATTATCATTGATCTGGGAATGCGTCTTTCGTGGCTGGTGCGTTCGTCGACCCATAGATGTCTGCGGCCATTCTAACAACCCTTTTCCGCTGTCTTTTACGCCTGTTAACATGCAAGCAAACCTTCATCGGCATCAATTTTCATGTAAAAAGATCTTACTCGCTCAAGTTGCGGGTGTGCACGTCAGTTGTAATTAGACATTATTAAAAGTATGAATGCAGGGTGCGGTCCTTTTAAAACGGAAGGGTTCTACTAGCAACACTGTTTCCAGTGGATTACAAGGAGTGTGATAGTGGTTTAAACTGAATGCTGGAAACCTGCGTTTTCTAGTGCCTGCTCTACCTGCAAGTTTTCCAGCGTGTGATAGTGCCCCACTGGGGGCACGGGGAAATTTGAATGTTGGTTTTGGCATTACCTTCATTTGTCGTTTTTTCAATAACTGTTTTGAATTCAGTGAGAATAAATAGCATACTGAGAAGAGAAAATCCTAGTTCTGAAACGACAGTTAGTTCTGGCTGCACGCTGACAGAGCTTCTTCGTAGAAAATAAGTGAATACAGCGAAACCCGTTTATAACGAACAGCAGGAAACGCTACGATCAGCTTGATATAGCAAGTAGTTCGATATAGCAGAAACCATTTACAACGAACTTCCACGATGCGTTCATTGTAAGGCGAGAGCTATTTCTCATCTCTTCACTTCCGCCTTGTAACAACGCGCTGGAAATTTTTTTTTTTTGCATCCGTGCAGGGATTTTTTTTTTGGCTTATCTCCTCTTTTGAATTGATTCTCTTCGTGGGCAAACACTTTGGGATGAAAAGTATTTTGTTGTGTGCGTCCATGCAGACTATTTTTTAGCTTTCTCCTCTTCTGAATCGCTTCTCTTTGCTCAATTTTGTTAGCTACTTGAGCTTTTAGAATTTTCTTTCTTTCCTTCTTCTTTTTTGGGTGAAGGGACGGGCTAGAGGACCATTGTTTCCATGTTTTAGAAGCCTTCCTGGGAGAGAAAGTTCGATATAGCCTATATGTTGGTCTTTATAAAAAGTATTTTTTACATGCATTTTTATTTAAATTTTTTGTGAGTTCGATGTCGACAATAATTCGCTGTACGTGGGTTCGTTCTAAACGGGTTTCACTGTACTACCATATTTTCCTGTCTAGAAGTCGCATCGTTTGTATAAGCCACACTCCCCTATAAAGAACCATTTTTACAAAGAAGTTGTTAAGTTGCGCCTTTGTATAAGTCACACATTTGCATTTGTACGGTTGGCACAGCAAAACTGCATTGATAAACCTGTATATGTGTACTCTGGTTACGATATATGTGCAAACTGGAGCCGAAAAACGAAATAGCGGATAAAGCGAAGTGATTTCCGATTCCCGTTGACTTCGTTATAACCGGTCTCGCCAGTAGTCGTTGACAGGGGAAGCTCTCCCACCTTTTTCCATTTTAGCAGAGCGAACGCTGGAGAGGAGGTTACCTCCACTAAGGTGGAAAGATCTGGGAGGAGTTTTTAGTGAACTCTTTCTCTGTCACAGACGGTAGATGATTTGTGTTTCCTTTGTTGTCCAAAATGGTCTAATGGCGGCATAATGTGTCCTTCATGCAGGAGGACTTACATCGGCTCTTCGAGCAGTTTGGCATCGAGAAGGTAGTGCTGAAGAAGCCGGACAACAGCGCAAAGAGACCGTATGTTGTACACTTATTACACTTGCAGAACATTCTTCTGCGGTTGCTCTCTAAGGTGTCCCGATTGACAGTTTTGCCTTTGTGACAGTTTTGCATTTGTGCCCTTTTGACAGCTGTGCCTTTGTGATGGTTGCACCTTTGTGACATATGCACCTTTGTGGCAGTTTCACCTTTGTGGCAATTGTATCCTTTTGGCAATTTCACATTTGTAACGGTTTAAAATTTGTCTGTTTTACCTTTGTGACAGTTTCAGATTTCTGACTGTTTCCCCTTTCGAAGTTTCACATTTGTGACATGTTTACCTTCGTGACAGTTACACTTTTGTGGCAGTTTTGCCTTTGTGACTGTTTCACCTTTGTGCCAGTTCCACCTTTATGACAGTTTTGCCTTTGTGACAGTTTCGCCTTTGTGACGCTGCGTGAGGTGGCGGCAGTGGCGGCGGCCACGACCCAGATGAATGGCCATCAGTTTCTGGGGCGGAGAATCAACGTGGCAACCGCCAACAGAGGCGGTATGTGGCGTCTCATTTGTCACGTGTTATTTGTTTGCCTCGTCCGTCACACCTCGGTCGTCTCGAGGATGGTTTACAATCTACCCTCGAGAGTGAATGATTACGTTGATTACGAGTAAACATTGATTACGATTACGAGTGGACATTCTAGATGGCATACATTTAGAATGCCTTTCGTTTTGCCCCACTTGTGGCCGCATTGCCCGACAAATCCGATTGTTTCCCAGGTGGTGCTCCTTCGTCAAGAGCCGCGTCGCCCCCATCAACGCCGTGGGGACAAGCTCCATCGTCATCGTCAGAGCGCGTGTCCATTAAAGCTGATTCCCGGGAAGGTGCTTTGGTGGAGCGGCGCCCTTCAGATGTTGCGATGGCTCCGCCCACACTGGAGAACATGCCTGACGACGATCATCCGGTGGAAGAAGGTTGCTTGAACAACGGCCCACCTGCCCTGGTAGTCTGCACTGAAGACCCTTTGGAGACCTCGTCAAACTCTTCAGGTGAGCTTGCCATTCATTTTAATGCTAAAGCATTAACTGGTCCCCTGGAGCGAACCGGCGTTCTCAGGTTTTGAAGCCGTGCCGAAAGTCTACTTACATTCTTTTGCCTAATAGAGCGAAACATAGTCTGTAGCAGCAAATTTATGGATAAATCCCGTTGGCTCCATTGCCGGGGCTCCGGCCACTTCTGCTCCTCAGGGCGCCGAGGGATATGGTGGCTCTTGAAGCATCTGTATTGTCGGCGGCCGCAACTTGGGCAGTAGCGAAACAAGGCTGTCCACGCTGGTACAGTGTAGACCGCATATAACGTATGTCTCGGGAGTCGCGAAAATCCGCACTATGAGCGGTACCGCACTATAACCAAAACATCAATTTTTCAGGCCAAAATACATGCCATGAGACAACTTACCTTTGTAAAAGAATTATTTTATGTTAGATGAAAAATAAAGCTTAGTTTGAGGAAAGTCTTTATTTCACCAGACTAGTACAGTTCTGTCTCAAGTGTGTCACACATTTTGAAAGAAATGAGCGGCTTTTGCCTGGCGCAGCCTTTTAACGGCGTCGCGGGTTGCGGACGGACGTTGTGAGCGTTTAGGATTGCTAACCCTAATCACTTTTCTCCGGAGATGAAAACGCGTGAAAATTCGCATCCTTCATACGGTATGCACCAGTAGTAGCACCTTGAACTTGAGCACACGCATGAAATGTGCCAAATAAGAAATCCGGGCGATGTTCGAGGACACAAATGCTTAGAAATCACCACTGTAGTCGAAGTAAACAAACACGACGACACGGGCGTTTCTGCCGTCTTGAGAGCGCCACCACGACATCGTCGCACGAGTATGTGGATCTTCCCGTCTAGTACGTGCTGGGTTATCATAGCGACACACAACGAAAATTCACAGTCAAGGATAGCGCTTTTACGTAGAACGATGAGATGAACGGTCGTCTACGACGACGATCACAACCGACGCCATGATTGCGGAATAGAAGCAGCCGGCCCGCGACCGGCATGCAACGCGCGCGAACACTTCTCCTCGACCTGCGATTGGTCTGTCGTTGCGGTTGTTTGTTTCTTTGTTTCCAACGCAGCGGAGGGACGCACGCACGTGAACGACTCGTGCGTGCGTCCCTCCGTCGCTATGGCAACTGAAGCCTCTCTCTTCGATTCTCCCCGCGTTTTCGAGCAACCTCCTCGCCCCGCGAGTGCAGTTTGCTGCTCGCGCCGTCAGCGCCGTTATCTAGTGTCGCCCAGGGAAGCGAGCTCGCTGCTCCGGTCGTCGGCGCAGTCGGCGGGCTGTGCCAAAAACCACACTATAACCGGTATTTCACTTCGCGCGCCTGCATTTTAAGCGGTATGTAATTACATGGAGTTCTATGGGAGGTGAACCGGTGGTTTAAAAAAACCGTGTTATACCCGGTCCTGCACTATAAGCGGTTACGTTGTAAGTGGTCTATACTGTACACCGCAGACGAACTAAGGGAGCGCAAGAACGACATTCGTGGCTTCCGTGTTCACAACTCCTAAAAAGCGCTTAGGTGTCCTCGGAATTTTTTTCTTTTCAACCATTCGGCAGGGCCATCCATCGTTCCGGCATAGCTGGGGCTCAGTGTTTCCGGGGTAAATTTTTTTCTCTCAATCTTGGCGGTGTGTTTTTTTGGCGGGTTTCATTTAATGGCGGTATCTGTTTGTGCCTCTTTTGAGCGACATCCGGCATCGTTGGTACGTAAAAACCCATGTGATCGCAAAAAAAGAATGACAGCATGGCAAACGCGCCGCGCCGATTAGATGGAGGGCTGCAGCGGCACAAGAACGGCAAAGGTCGAAGGGTTTCGACATGCGAGAGGCAGCGCACAGGCTCCTTTCGCACATATCCTAAAGCACATCTACAACTATTCTATTAGAGGCAAAGCTGCTGAAACTTCTATCCAAAAGCACATTGATTAAAAGAAAAAACCCCAAAGCATATGTTTCAACGATGCAACAACTGCCACTGTCAAACGTGTGGTCGTTTACAATTTTTTAATGCATTCGCATTTGTTGCTGTGGTGCATGCCACCATCTTTTGTTTGGATGGTTGTGGTTTGGACTTGACTGAACTGGTTTCGTGAGGCCGGCGCACGGTTCCCGCCGTGCTTTTTTGCTTTGTTCGTTATGCCCACTTTTCCTCTTACAAGAGGGGAAGAGTCTTCTGGCACGCTTCCAATGATGCACCGCGGAAGCAGAAGGGATCGAATGGCGGCGGCACAACGTACGCAACGACGTAAAGCCGAGGCGCAGTGACGACGCCGTTTGTGTGAACCCGCCGACCCCTAAAGGAAAGACTGGCTCTTTGAAGACAACAGTACGTGGACCGTTATCGGAGACGAGGGAAGCTTTGCTGGCTGCATCTGAAACCATCGATGCCCGGGAGAACAGACCGGCGCTCCGAAGACAACGATGTGCAGACTGTCGCGAGGTTGGAATACCCGTCCTTGGCCGAGCCGGAACCCCTGCGGTTGAGGCTCACACATTTCGCCGAGAATCGGCGTAGCGACAGCAGCGATTTTGGCATAATTTCTTTTATGGGTTCTATGTTTTTCGGTGACCATTTTCGATGTCGCAGCAAAAGATTGGTGTTCGTCGGGGCTTATGTTGAAGGAAACGGGGACCCGGTGAAACGAGATGAGGGGCATGATTACCGGAGAAAGAAGTAGCCTCGCTGACGGCTTAGTTCAGGCTGCGTTCCAGTTCAGCACAAAACAAAGCCATACACAAGTACATGAATTAACGAGCTTCCGCCGCGTAAGGAAAAAATGGAACCCTAAGCGTAAGTAACAGCACAGTTTGTTATGCCTTTCCCTTTGAGGACGACAAAAGGCGCCGAATTTTTGTTGTTCGAGATTGGGTTAGTGGGTGGTGATGCAACTGCGATAATACTGCGAACACAGTGATGTTACGCTTTTGCCGCTGCTTGACTGGTCCCACCGGTTCGTAGCGTCGGCTGCGCTCTGACTTGCGGTGGAATGAAATACAGTAGCACCTAATTTATTTATTTATTTATTTATTAAAATATCTTAAAAGTCCTTCTGGGAAGGACATTACATAAATGGGGATAAGTATGTCATATATGAAACACACAAAAAATAATAAAATAGAAACATGCACATCAGTGCAAACATATAAAATATCTTAAATCAAGCAACAAAAAATAAAAGCTTCCACACTACTGCCAACGTACACGAAATCATGTCATACAATACCCAGTGATGTGATTGCTGCGCCAATTGCGCCAAACTGCGCCAAGGGTCTAACCCTGCTACATCCTGCTACATTTTGTTAAAATATGGGTAATCTGCGCCAAGCCTGCGCCAAAGATCCAGTTTTGGTCGCCTTTGAAAACCAAAACTAAACTGAAGACCGTAATTGAGCACACATGAGCTAGGTGGTGCAAGCAGCCATCCGACACAAAGTACCCTGCATCAATCGTTCATCCGGTCTTGCATGATTATTCCTGCCGTCTCTCGTCTCGCGTCTTTTAAAAAAAAAATTCAATGATAGACGTTGGCGTGTGCGGACGCTCCGACGCTAGCGTGCTTTGTACCAGCCACGCCGACATGCTGTAAAACAAAACAGTGTTTTTGCGCGGCGGGGTTTACTTTATGGGCTGAAGCACTCGCTCCTGAAAGCCACGGCCGTGGCCAAACTATATTTGGTCCCTGCCTGCCAGCCACCATGGTCGCGCGGCGTCGGGTGTTGCCATCCCCACGTCACTGCAGTTATGGCACTTTCCAAACTGAAACGTAAGGGCCGCCGCATGTTCATCAACAATCCTGTTCTTGTTTAATACACTATTACAAACATCCCTATAGCTCAAAGACGGCTGTGTCGAAGAATTGATTGCCTAGGTTTTTCTCGGTAGGCTTTCTTTCGAGACGTTCCCCGGTATTTGAAAAATCAGCCGCGAAAGATGTTGGTGAAGAAAAGTGAGATAAAGCAAAGAAGGCAATGTTCGCGTGCTGAACCCGTACAGCGTGCTTATTTGTCTCGAGCTCAGTCGTTGCATAAAGCGCTCCAAGAAATTTTTGACCCTGACTCGCGATGTCTTGCATCAATGCGCTCAGGTTCTTTTTTTTCTTTCTGTGTGTTTAACTTGTACCTCGCCTCCCGGACTGGCAAGCACGTGCCGCTGGACTGTTGTTTTTTTTTTTTTTGTATGTTGGACAGTTACATTGTGCATACGATTTAGGGAATTAGTTGGAGACGGAGCGGAGGGGCATGGTTTTGATCTAACAGCCATCTCCGCTCGCGCGACAGTTTCGCATTGCACGGAAGTAGTTAGGTGTTTCATCAGTTAGAGACTGCTTCCATTTAATATATTACTAGTCAACCTAATGATGTGATTATAGAGAGTTTTGGTAGATCCTGTTTACGGACACGCTATTTGTAACGGGAGCTCGCGCTACCCCTTCGATGCATGCTCTGAAGCGCGCGCCTGTAGCTGTAGCGGGCCTTTGAAAAAGAAGTACTAAAACTCTCTATTTACTACTAAGCTGGTCATTTTCAAATAAATTTTAATATGTGCAGTTTCGTCAGATATATTCGTATCATTCAACTGAAACATTGCAAACTGTGTTATGTAATTGGCATTTCAGGTACATGTTGAAAGACTCCCAGGTGGTCTATCTTGACAATAATTGGTTGATTGCGGCGAACAATGTGTCCTTCGTTTGTCCACCACCTAAAATTAATATTTTTTTTTTCTAAGAATATCTGCTCCAAAAGCCACTTTGGCTGCTCCGAAGCACTGTTTTAGCTGCTCCAAAAGCCAGTTTTGCTGCTCCAAAACTCCGTTCTAACTGCTCCAGAAGGTGCTCCAATACGGCTTAGGCCAATCACATCACTGAATACCTAAATGGCTGCTGATAAGGGAACGATAGCTATCAGGGTTAATCTCGGTGACGATGCGCTCTGTTAGATCATTCCACCGCACTGCTGTTTTGGGAGAGAGGGAATATAA